TCCTGAAGCAATTCAAACCGATGATTATATTCAACAAGTAGTTGGTTTTATTTCGAGTTCAAACTTGGGCATCGTTATGGCTGCTTCTAGTCTACTCGAAACATTAGCAGAAAAAAGAAAATTAGATGGATTCCCCTGTGTTTCCACTATTGTTTCAATACTGCATCGTCTTTTCAGAGCTAGTCCAAATGATTTGCAAGATTATGCTTATTACACAGTTCCATCGTCTTGGATGGTTGTTAAGCTTCTGAGGCTACTTAGAAACTTTACTGTTCCAACTTCTTCTGTTGTAAGAGTGCGCCTTCTTGACTGCGTGCAATTAATCTTGAACAAATGTGAAGAACCACCGAAATCGGAGAAACTCGGGCGCACAGAGAAATACTCAAAAAACGCTATTATTTTTGAAACAATTTTGCTGATTCACCATATTAAAGTTGAAGATTCAGTGATTTCACGTGCTTGCTCGATTTTGGGTACTAAAATGCGGAATAAAGATATCAACATACGTTACTTAGCCCTGGATATGATGTGTTTGCTAGCAGAATGCGCAATTGCAAGAACAATTTTCCAACGAAATTTAAATTCCATCAAAAATTTGTTTTATTCCGAAGAAGATAGTTTAATTAAAGATAAAATCACCGATCTCCTATATCTTCTGTGCAATAAGAGTAATGTTATCCAGATCATAAATGTTTTGAATAGTTATGCTGAAATGTGTGATTGTACATCTTCAAAGGAAGAGGTGATATTGAAGATTGCATATTTAGCTGAGCAGTTATATGAAAATCCTACATGGTACGTCGAAATCATTTTAGCACTTCTAGAAAAATATCACTGCTATGTTAGAAGAGAAATATGGTTTAGATTTGTTGAAATAGTGAAGAAAACGCATAAACTCCATAGTTATGCGACTAAAAGAATTTTTGACATTATCAAGGATGGTTCATGCAATGAGAGTTTAGTGAAAGTGTCTGGTTACATTCTTGGAGAGTTTGGAAATTTGATTGCTGGTGATCCAAACGCTAATGGCAGAGTTCAATTTGCATGCTTACAAAATCATTTTCGCAACTCCTCTCTTGAAACAAAAGCACTTTTGCTTACGACATACATGAAATTTCTAAATTTGTTTCCTGTTCTTAAAGAGGATGTGAGTAAAATTTTTTTTGAGTTCACCAAACACTCAGATGTGGAAATTCAACAAAGAGCTGTGGAATATTTAAAGTTATCTAAACATGCAGGTTTAGAGATCATTTTGGAAGTGATGCCATTTGCAGAAAAATCAAATTCCATTGTTCTGAGTGTTTTGCGGAAAATTAGGCCTAGTTTACACAAAATTCGAATTTGTGATGAACCTATTAGCACACCGAATAGTACTGCTATCAGAACAACATCATTAAACCTTAAAAGTAACACCATTAGACAAAACGATAGACAAATTAAACGATGGGTGACAGAAAAACCAAAAGTGAATGAGTTAGCAAAAAAGAATTTTCAAAACCCCGTTCCTGGTTCGAGGCAGGTACATAGAGATTCAGATCAATTGACGGCAAAGAAATCGTATGTAGAAGTTTTAGCAAATGTTCTAATGTCTCCTATTAATCCTCCAGTTATTTCCACACCTGTTCGTGACATCATTTCTTTAGATCCTTTGCTCCGTCTCATTTGGCATAACAGTGGCGTGATTTTTGAGAATGACATCTTCCTCGTCACTTGTGATTGTCAGTTCAATAAAAGCATTGGACGTATTTCCCTCTGCTATCAAAATAAATCCACGTATCCATTTCGATATTTTTTACCAACTTTTTTCTTCCAAAATACGGCAAGACTGAAACTTTACATGAAGTCTTGTCAATCTATTCTATCTGCTGGTGAAAAGATTATGCAAGAAATCGGCATACAGTGTTTGGAAGAATTCAGTGAAAGACCCGAGTTGTCAGTTGGTTTCGAGTGCTTTGGTGAATTTAAAGAACTAACCATAAAGCTTCCTGTTACACTGAATAAGTTTTTTGAACCAGCTTTTTTTGAAGCAAATCAGTTTCGTAACCTGTGGAATAATTTCAGTGGTGAGGAACAAGAACTGGTGAAAATAATTCGTGCCAAATGTCCAATGGATAGGAATACGTTAGTCAATAAATTGCTTGGAATACAAATGTCTGTTCTGTCAAATTTGAGCCAAAACTTGCCTGATGTTTATGGTGCTGGAGTTTTCCATTGTAGTACTTATCAAGCAGGAGTCTTATACCGTATACAATCAAATTATAATACTGAACAATATCGTATCTCAATGCGAGGAAAGAAAAAATCTGTACTTGTCGAAATTGCCAAGTTAGTGGAAAATTTGGTTTAGGCTGATTTTTCTTAGAAATTACTTTAGAAAAAAGAGGCATGTTATGTATTTATTAGTTAGATCTCAAATAGGTCTTTCTGAACTTGAAATTTGTTTCAAAATTTCCTAGTGATATGAATAGAAGCTTCTTGATTTCTCTTTTACTTCAGTTGTTGAGATAATACCAAATAATTTTAGCCGCAAACACCATTAATGTAAGACAGATTATTGTAGCTGCATGAAATTTTTAACAACTTGATATATACTTTTTTTATTGTTATTTTAATATCTAAAAAATAGACCTTTTTAAATGAGCAAAAAATAAAACAGAAACTCAGTTGTTTTTTTCTTAACATGGTTATTTATTTATTTATTTTTGATTTCAATAAAACATTTTTGCTGAAAAAATAACTCAAAACTGCAGAAAAAAAGACATGCCAAACATTATTGAGGTAAGACTGCGTACGTTATTTTTACCAAATAAACAGACATTCAGTGCTAATTTTTCTCCATATCAAAATTTATGAGTCGAACTAAAGTCTTCTGAAATTTTTTTTAATATTTTAGATATTATAGCTTCTTAAATTAAAAAACCATACTCAGACAAATTTAGGTACTAACTACTTATTCGAGTCTTTACCTTTTGCGATGCTAAAATAATATAATATTGATAATGAATATATGAAGGACATACAAAAAATATACTATTTATTTTCAAATTTCGTTAATTTTATAATTTTATTCAAAATTTGTTTTGTAATTTTTATTAAATTAATAATATATAAAATTGGCAAAAATAATAGTTATGATGGTACGTTTGTAAAAGAAACTTTAAAAACAGCTGCTGGGTTGGAAGCTATGATTATATTTGGAGCAGGATCCAACCGGGAAACAGTTTTTACTTTTATATACATAGATATCAATTACTTTTTGGTTCCTGATTCTATTGTGTTTTTAAGGAATGTAATTTTAAAAACTGTAATTTCATATGGCAAATTCGAAATTTAAACGTAATCAGTGAAATAGCTTCTGAGAAATAAAAGTTTTTTAAAAAATTGCATGTTTAAAATTTAATTACTCGAGAACTATTCATTCAAATTTTGTATTTTTTCATGTAATATTAAAATTTTTAAAATTTGGAAAAAATTTGTATTTGTATTTGTATTTGTATTTGTATTTTAATTTTTTTTGGCTATTATTAAGTAAAATAATAAAAATAATAAAAAAATAATAAATCATTAGTAAAATTGTTTTTGTTAAAAATTATCTTTGGAAAAACAAATTTTACAATTGCGTGCAATTTTTTTTTGATTCGCTTAAAAAGTTTGCTAGGTACACACACAAAAATACTCAAAAAGAGGAAATTTTCGACCGCTCTCCTGCTTCGTCTGCATCAGTAGAAGGAAATGTATGGTTATTCAGAGAAAGTAAATTTTCCTGTCTGATTTTGCATTTTGCAACTTAAAATACCATCTGCAATAATCTATTAGCATAAGGTGAGCTTTTGAGCAGTTAAAATTGAGTTCCAGAACGACATACCCTGATTATCCTAACAAAAGTTATTCAGGGTGTTCCATTCTTTTGCGCATTGTACATATCAACGAATAAATATAATGTTATTATTTTTATTTTTCAAAATATTATGTCTGTTTATGTATACGACAAACATAAATTCTATCAAAACTTCCGATTTTAAAATTTATTTTGTAGCTCAATTTTAATGAAAACTATTCTATGAGGATACCGTAATATCTCACCAACTCTTATAGTAGAATCACCGAAAGATTACAAAAGTGGGAAAAAATAAATGATTGGTCAATTCTAAGGCTCCTAGTCAATTCAACAATTGTCTAAAGCTACATGATAAAAGGAGCTCGATATTTTTTCTGTTTATTTATAAATTTTTTTTCAAAAACAAATTAATTTTTATTGTCTTGGATTTTACATCTTTACATAAATACAATGTAGTAAACCGTTAGGATCACACAATTACAGCTCTCGTAAGCCGTACTGTAGCAGTCTTTGTTACCAGTAAGCTCGGAAATGAAATCTCATAAAATTTATGCGTGAAGTGATTTTCAGTTTGCACTCATCATAATTCATCAATTTTTGCATAATACAAAAGATTTTCTGTAATTTATCACACTGTAAAAAAATCCGAATCAAATTACGGTATAAAATGCCGGTAATTTGGTTGCATCTTCTCTAAAATCCATTTTACCATAAAATTTTATACCGTAATATTTACAGAAATATTTATTAAACTGGGGTGATTCAGAGATTTTATGGTAATTAATACTGTAAAACTGTAGTTTAATTATTACTCTATATCAGATATTTTGATCAGTTATATGTTCCGGTAAAAATGAATTTTATGGTAAAATGTACTGGCACTCTGAATGCCGGTACTTTTTACCGTAGTTTGATCCGAAATGTTTTACAGTGATGACAAAAGCAAAACATCTGTCTCACTAATTATTTCTGAACAGTTTTCATCATTTTTATTTGATCAATCTGAAAGGCTATATATCGATTATTGTTTCGAATACAAATCTAATTTTAGAAAGCTTCCATTGATTTTCTTTTATAGATTCCATGATAGAAAGAAAGAAACAAAGGTAATAATTATTTTTCAAATGAAGATATATTTAAAACTTTCACTTTTGAAACTTACCAATTGACTCTCGGATGATGATATGTCGGATACTTGTCCCCATCCCATGACTAGAGTGTCTAATGTTCGAATTGGCTCCCACGCATACACTTTCAGAATGTCTTGGGCACCACTAAATAAGCACGCGCCATTTGGACTGAAATATATTTTCCTGCAATAGAGAATGATTTACAAGGATCAATTACAATTTTAATAGATCAAACAATTTTAAGAGAAATTATAAAAACACTTTGAAATAAATTGAAATGTATTAAAATGGTAAAAAAATTTGTCATGCTGATTATTAAGCGTGATAATCATCAGAAAATTAGGGGTGTAAATAATTGCCTGATTATTAGGGGTGATAATAATCAGGTTCATAAACTGTTAAAGATTTCAGAGTCTAATAATCTTTTAAAATGTTCCAAACCAACCCTAATTAAATATGAATAGACTGTTGTGATATAATGTACCCATTTTTAAATTGTTTTAAAATTAAAATAAAATTAATTAGAGAAATTGTTTATCTGTAAATTTTTTATCCCTCAATTAACAGTATTTTTTTAAAACTGTTTCTATTTTTTTTAAAAATTATGTTCACTGGTACATTTGAAACCAAGACTTTTCCCATCGTTCGGCAATAGGGACGCATATTTCCTCTACGGAAGGATGAATAAGGGATAATTTAGTAACAGCCCCCCCCCAAGGACATATTGAAGCTCGCTTGAAATGGAGACATATTTTTATTGTGTCTCTATTTCAGTTTTTCTTTAGACTTAAAAATAGTACAATTTATTTATTGTAAATCTAATTACACAAATATTGAGTGAGAAATTGCAATCGTAAAAGAGGCTGTATTCCTTCAGTTATAAATTGTGAGGGGGCTAAGGCTCCCCTCCCAGTTTCGCAGTCAATGGGTTTGTCTTCTAAGTTCCAATTTGCAATTATTTATGAGTATCAAAGTACTTATAAAACACTGGATATTGTTACATGATACAGGGTATTGCTTCACTTACTAAATTATAACTTATAATTATATATCAATATAGCATTTATAATATTATAATATTCATAATATCATAATATTTATAAAATTATAATATTTATAATATTATAATATTTATAATATGTAAAAAATAAAGACTATATATAGCACTTAATCAATAAAATTCGGTAAAGAAAGCGCAATTTTAAAAAAATAATTTTAGAACACTACTGACTATTATATTATTATATAAAATATTTATTGTTCACGAGAGTAGATTTAACCTATAGTAAATGAGATATGCACATGCTTATAATTTTGCAGGCTTGTGGCATAACTACCACTATAAATACTGAATACCAATTCACTAGTATATAATACATGTTAATACAAATACATGATAATACCAGGTTGTGAAAAATTTTCTCTGTATTATATATTTTCAAAAATTCATGCGTAGAAGAATTCTGAGTATAATATATTATATCTAAATAAATCAAATTCATATGTGTGAGTAATAATTTTAAATGTTATAAATAAATATAAATTTAATTTAAAAAATTTACAGGGGAAACAGCTATAAGACTAAGAGATGTGAGTTATAAGCTTATAACCTGATAAAATGGAATTCTTTACTATCTTATTATCTAAATCAGTATGCAAGTAAGAATTTGTCAAGTAAGAGATAAAGATTTTTCTCAGTCTTAGAGCTAGTTCTTGAAAGCCAATTTTACTTATTCTATGCCTACCTACTATGAATTGGATTTAGTGTTTGAAATAGAATAAATTTTGTTTCCAGTTGGGGTTCAGTCTTTTGAATGCAAGGTTTTTCTTGGATTTCTTTCATCTCAACATAGATTATAGTTTTGAAACAAAATAAAAGTAATACGCTTATGAATTGAATTTCTCAACTATTATGACTTGAAATCTCAAATGTTTACGGGTTATTTGAAAATTAAATTTTCCTATCGAGATTATTATTTTACTTAATTTTGTTTTTCAGCATTGTTTAAACCTCAAAGTCTAATGAGTTTAATTTACGTTATTCTATTATTCGTGTCTTATTGAGTTTATTATTCTTGATTTAATTTTTCAAAATTTGAATAAACTAGTCATTATTTTGTCCTGAATTTTATTTTGTCATTTAATTCTTCGAGCAAATAATAGTGCCTGAATAGTTAAACTGCTGACGTAAATTGATATTAGTCGTGAAGTGTTTTTCCTTTTGGTTAAAATAAACAGAACTATGTTTCTATGGTGCTCAATTTTAGAGAATTGCGAGCTAGTAGTTCATATTGCAGGAAATCCAATAAAAATTAAAAATGGACATTAGAGATTTTAGGATATTTGTGGGTGGAAGTGATACTAAACACCTTACGAAGATAACTTCTCTTTGGCATTATTTTTATGTCTTTGGTGGCGTGCTTAGGTTTATGGATGCCCCAAGAGCAACATTACAAAACAACAAGCTCGTTGCTCTAGTTCTTCAATTTCGAACTACCTGCCTAATGGGAACTCATAACCTAATGGGATCATGAACATCACTCATGATTTTCAAGATAACGTACCATTGTGCAATATTCCTTACATTATTTTCTTAACCTTGAAAGGAATTGGCAGGAATAAATTTTGGCGGCATTCCTTTCTTAGATTTTTTTAAGTGTAAGAGCCATTAAAAATATTTAGAACATTCAGTTAGAAACGGTTTACGGGTTTAAAACGGCTTACAACTGGACGATTAGGAAATTATGAATACAAAACTATGCGATTTTTTAACCATTATAACTAGCAAAGTTTATAAGGAGTAAAAATAAAATGCAATGGGACACATTTTCGTTAGGTAATAGACATGAAACCGTGGAATGTGTCTTATTAAGTTTATCAGGTGGTGGCGTCTATCGCGAAGAAGAGGAATACTAAACTTCTTTGTGTTAAGTAGCTTTGCAATGCTGTCATCTATGCGAGATTGCAATCTTTTTCGTATTCTAATAGTCCAGGGTCACCAATTGGGAATATCAAGAAACTGGAAACTCTTCATGTGCTGAAGAATTGGTAGAAATAGTGTGGTATCAACGCTAGGATTTGAACCCCCATGCAGCCGAAGAATGTACCCAACTGTAAAAAATTAAAAAGCTTCATAAGTTTGGTCTAGCTGACGCAGATAAATTTCTGGCTGTTTTAAGCTGATTAGGTGCAAGCAATAAATAAACGACTTTTCTCACAGTTAACTATTTTAGATCAGCTTTTATGATCATTTAACTGTTTTAGTGAATATGGTGAAATAAAAATTAAATAAATTTGTTATTTATCCATTTTTTAAAGAAATTTCTAACAGTGTATTCCTAATTTCTTTTTTTAAATACAAAGAACATTTTAATTTAATTGCTGATCTTAGTTTTTTGAGTGCAGATGCCCGAAATCTTAAATATTAAATTTTTTTTAAAATTATATAGATATTCATTTATAAAATATTTTTCAAGAGCCAAATAATTATCTGCTAAAAACTTGATTGCATAATAAAATAACAGCAATAGACTAAAGTTCCTTAGTCATTCATTGGATGCTTTCTTTAGCTGAAAGCCTGGGGCTGTTGATTCATTGGTCATACTACTCTACACACCACTAAGTTCTCGAGTTTCAACTTTTTTTAATATTCTTGATAATTCCATGAGCATCATGGACGAAACAAGCCAGTCATGTTTGAAATCGCATCAGTCGATTAATAAAAAGCATATAAAAATATTTCGCAGATTGTCTATGTTATTTAAACGGAACTTATTAGCGATATCTGGATCTGCCACTTTTTCAAGAAGCTTTTTCGTAAGTTTTTCCAGTAAAAGTTTGAAATGGAAATATTAATGAAATAATATATTCATATTCAATAGAAAATAAAAAAAATAGGTATGATTAAATTTTTTGGAAAGAGCATATTCCTAATAAAAGTGAAAAGAAATATAGATATAAAAAAACACTTGCATTAACTCTCTTTTCTGTCCGTAATTGTTATTTTTTCGTTCTTCAATGACTTTTTTTAAGGTTTAATGATTTTTTATTTTTTTTCTTCCAATGCTCAAAGACATTTTTTTATTGATTGAGGAATAAATTACTAATATGCTAAAGGTAACGTGATTAAATTACGTTATAAGCAAAACTAATAGCATAATTACACTTTATAACTTAATTACAAATTATAATAATGCCTTTGACACCCGGTGACTGAGCGGTAGCTCTTCTCGCTGTCGTGCCACAGGTCCCTGGTTCGATCCTCGGGCTGGGCAAGGTTGACTTAGCCTTTCATCCCTTCAGTAGGTCGATAAATGAGTACCAAGCATGCTTGGGAACTAAACACTGGGGGTTCCGCGTTCGGCTGACGACCTGACCGGAACATCTGCTCCTGCACCCCAGAGCCCAAGGTCAAGAAAACTGAGATGGGCACTGTTGGCCTTGGCCCTCTATGGGCTGTCGCGCCACTGAGTTCAGTAGTAATTATGCCTTTAAAATTATTAAAAAATTTTTTATTTCATTCTGAAATACTTTACACTGTGTTATTATTATGTTGCCTATAAAATACTTATTTTCTTAGCTGCCGCAATCGTGAATGGATTAATCTTAAGCAAATGTAACTGTATTTGGTACATGTTAAATGTTTAGATATTTTACAGTAACAATAGCATGAATAAATTATTCTATCAAAAGCTGAAAAGTTTATTCATCTAATTTTATTCGAATCGATGATAAACAATATTGCAGAAACAATATTGTGATATTCTATTCCTTAAAAAATATTTTTATGAGTGGATCATTTATAGTTCTAAAGAAAATAAATAACATGCACACATTTATTTTACTTTACTCTAATACTTTTGAAATAAATAAAAAGACAATTAAGGGAAAAACAGAGAAATTTAAAAAAAAACAACAACTTAAGTCTTTTGTGAAATAAAACTAAGCTTTTAATAATTCAAAACTCACGTTTTTAAGATTATTTTATGTTACACTAACGATAAGAGTTAAAGAAATGTCGCAGCATGGTTAATTACGATGATATTACATATAATTTGAAATAAATTAACCGCTTGATGCTTATATGCTCTAAAAATATAATTTTAAGAAATCAAATATTAACACTACTAACAAGGAAGTGGAATTGGAAGTATGTATTTACAAACCTTTTAACTTGAGATATTTTATTCGATTGAAGACAAATAATACGTTGTTGACAAGTGTAATTAGGTTTAAATTATCAAAACAAAACATTGCAAAATAACAAATAAAAAATATTTTTTTCCAACTTTTCTTTCTTCATCTGCAAACCGTTTTGCTTGAATCATCTAAAAAGGAACTAGCTTGCTAAGAGAAAATTTAAGTGAAACTCATGTATTATTAATAAGTTGTTTTCTTATGCAATGTACGGGTTTTATGTCTGTAATTATGAATAAATAAGAGTATTTATTTTCGTTAACACGGCAGAAAATTTCTTATAAAAAGAAAAAAAACTCCACGTTAAGAAAATAATTTTTCTTACTTTCTCCCAACTCTCGATTCTGAAAAACGACTCTCAGGCTGCGGAGATTAAATCTTATTTTTTCGTAAAAAGTAGCATCATGCTCGGATTTCAGTTAACGTTATCAATATTTTTATAAATATTTTTTTTCAAAAATAAGTTATTATTATCATAAAATATATTATTTTGATACTTTAAAAAAGATATTATCGAAAAAAAAATATTTTCTAAACGACTATTGTAAAAAATTAGCTTTTTGACGTCTAAAGTTAAATGATGTGAAAAGACACAAGTTATGTCCCATACAATCGTATCGATAGTATAATAAAGTCTTTTCTTTAGTATCGAAACACAGAAACACTTTCTATGCCTGATGAAACACAGAACTGTATTTCTGTGCTTACATCTCTATTTTACTTTGCACAAAACCCGTCCACCATGTTAACTTTGATTTCCATGTTGGCAAAATGCTTATTATTGCTGACTCAAATGGACTCATAAGCAATGTTGGAATTTTCATTAAAAAATTTGCTGAATTAACCGGCAGTAGTTCGTCCCTCTGATTAGCCGTAAAGTTTACGGTAAAGACGCTTTTGCATTTACGGTTTTGAAATCGTTTTCAATTAGTATGGTTATAAAACAATGAAATAAAGCTATACGTTTTTTTTAACCATTTACAACTAGCATAGTTTCAAAACCATACAAAGGAAATTAAACTCAGACACAGCTAATCTTTTCATTAGGTAATCATCATTGGAGAGTGCAGGACACAAATTGAGGAGTACAGGACTTCGGAAACTCTTCATGCGTTGAAGGAATGGAGGAAATATTGTGGTGCCAACGCTAGGACTGGAACCCAGTTCTGTCAGTCATGAGATTAACGGATTAGCCCTCTCAGCTATAATATGTACTCAGTGTCAAGGAACTAAGTGGCTTCATTAGGTTGGCTTAAATGGTAAGATAAAATTCTGGTTGTTTAACCATATTAGGAAAAAACAATCAATATAAGTTTTTTTTCCTTACACTTAACAGTTCGAATATCATCTTTTTTTTTAATGTTATTTTCCTGTTTTGGTCAAGTATGGTAAAATAACAATGAAATAAATTGCTATTTAACCATTTTTGACGAGAAATTTCTAACAGTGAGTCACGATGGCTCAGTGGTTAAAGCACTGAGCTGTCATTGCGAAGTATTGTGATTCGATTTCCGGCAGCCCCTCCATGACCCTTTCTCCTGGCTCGGGATGGATTGTAGATAGCTTTACTTTACTCATGGCCTTAAGAGGTTTGATTATTGCGACCTGAGACTATTTAGATTATCATTAAAATATTACAATAAAATGAAGAAAAAAAACATTAAAATTGTTAATTATGTTAATATTTTCAAGTACACAAATGCATCAGTTACTTGAAGATTACATTATGTGGTATTAATACATTGTATTAATTAAAAGACAAAAGAAAGACTAGTACTTTTCTGCTATCTTATACTGTCAATTATGTGTCTTTTGTCCCTTAAATAAGATGCTTCATTGCAGTAACAAAATAATAATATTTGGCATCATCAATGCTTTTTCACTTTGTTTAAATTCTACTTATATACAACACAAAATTAAGCCTTCTTTACAAGGATATTAGCAGACGTAAAGGCTTAGAGCAATAAAATAATAAGCCACGTTTTCTTATTCTTCAGAAGTTCGGTTTTCAAAATGTTTTTGCTAAAAAACACTGCAATTTCTACTTGGATTATAAGATATTTTGTGCTTTGTGCTTTATTCCGTCATCTTGTGAAAATTCCAAAAACTTTACAAATTTTTGGAATCCTGTATGGAGACAGTACAAAGGAATAGTTGGATGTAAAACTGGCTCCTATGGAAAAAAATGCCGCATCACTATAATGCCTAAAGTCTTCAATATATACTGGGTGATTACAAAATAACTTTGCCGATATATGATCATCTGAAGAATATACACTTTGAGATAACAGGAAAGAAAATGTACTTAGGTATTATGTACAATTACGTTCTGGAATACCATTATAAACGATTATGCAGTATGCAGTTTTCACGGTTATGGTTACAGTGACAAAATTTCGAAATTTTGTCACTGCAACATCTACTTTTTTTAGAAATAATAGTAATCCTAACAGTAAAAAACTTAAAATTGAGTTGAAGTGTTTTAGCGCAGGAAATTGCGACATTTTCATTTTACTGAGCGTCACCACGAACGAGAAGAGAGTGCATTAAAACATTTAGAGCACTTTTAAGGTAGCGTTCGATCACGTTTACTAGAACTCAAAAATGCGGGCACAATGAAACGTTTTTAGCATTAAAATATTCTCTTTACTGTTTGCTTCTGCGTTTCTTTTATTTCTTAAAGAGAAGCAGCTTATTTTCTTTATCTCTGTCTAGAGTCAAAATTTTTTGTGCAAAAAATATCGTTACGGCACCCATTGAGGTTCTTCACTGTAAGAAACGAATTTCGATCAACGACAACAAAAATAAGTGTTGCCATTTGAAAATTTCGCCTCTGCAACTGTAACGTTGAGAGCTACGCAATCATTTTTAACATCGTTCTTGAGCGCATAGAACATAATATACTGTTTACAAAATTTCATTCCAATTACTCAAATAGTATACTCCCCAGAAAGTAATATGCAGACAAAGTTATTATTTTATAATCACACTGTATTCGAAAAATGAAATTTCGCGCAATTTCTACTTAATATTATAGCACTCTTACAACTAGCTGTCAATAGTTGTTCTAAATGTGGGGTTATAGTATAACTATTTGTAAGAATATTGCCGATTCTAGTAAAACCCTGAAGCGTTTAAGAAAATGAAAACGGGATGAGCGCAAACAGAAGAGTTATGAGAATTTACTATTCGCTGTACAATATAAAGACACTTACTGTACTGGACCAGAGTCCCCATCCGTGCTTGACACAAGTCTGTAATTTTCTAAGTCCCAGAACTTTACGCACCTAAAAATATTTCACTTATTTTTAAAAGAAATAAAGGAAAATTCATCAATTAAAAAGTTAACAACGATGTAAAATTTTCAAAAAATTAGTTTCATTACGTAATTTGACTTCTTGTTTTTCCCATTAGAAAAGTTTTCTTTAGATATAAATTTAGGCTCATAGACCTGAAAAAAAGACAACACCGATTTTTTTGACGCAGATGTGATTCTATATGCTTTCAAAATTTTTAAAACATATTTTTCATGCCCTTAAACTCGTAATTTTTATCTAATTTTCTTAAGAATTGTACAACATGTAAATAGTTAATGTAATTTTTATGCTTTGTAGGACTTTCTTCTACACTATTTATAGTTTTGTCACCCCAATGCAGTAAAAAGAAGTACCATGAGTAACTTTAAATCTAATGACTAGTTTTTTATGTATTAACGTATAATGTATAACTTTATGTAAAATTTTAATTATTATTTAGGCATTAATTTTTATGATTTAAGCCTACATATTACATATGCTAATAATTAGCACTGCCTATAAATAAGTTACGAAATCAGATACAAACATGTGCATATACTGAATAATTAAAAAATTTTTTTTACAAATAGGAGATTTAGGTTCATTGTTTGCATACACTTATAAAAACTGTTTCTATCGTATCAATGAATCAAAGTATTGATAAATTCGATATTGGCTTTATTCGGTTTTGTTTCGACCCCTCTAATATACAATAGTGAGTGAAATATGAAAATTACTAAACTTTTATTAATAATACTAAAACCTTTAAACAAGTACTAAAACCTTCATTAATCATCAACTTTCAGACATAAGCGTTTATTAAGTGCAAAAAATATGAATATCATACCAATTTACGTAACGAGTTAGTTTTAAGCATAAGTTTAAAACATTATTCGTTTTTCTAACTTTGGTTTATACTTACTATACTAAAACCTTCATTAATCATCAACTTTCAGACATAAGCGTTTATTAAGTGCAAAAAAATATGAATATCATACCAATTTACGTAACGAGTTTGTTTTAAGCATAAGTTTAAAATATTATTCGTTTTTCTAACTTTGGTTTATACTTACTATACTAAAACCTTCATTAATCATCAACTTTCAGACATAAGCGTTTATTAAGTGCAAAAAATTATGAATATCATACCAATTTACGTAACGAGTTAGTTTTGAGCATAAGTTTAAAACATTATTCGTTTTTCTAACTTTGGTTTATACTTACTATACTAAAACCTTCATTAATCATCAACTTTCAGACATAAGCGTTTATTAAGTGCAAAAAAATATGAATATCATACCAATTTACGTAACGAGTTTGTTTTAAGCATAAGTTTAAAATATTATTCGTTTTTCTAACTTTGGTTTATACTTACTATACTAAAACCTTCATTAATCATCAACTTTCAGACATAAGCGTTTATTAAGTGCAAAAAA